GGGGATACTCACAGGAGGGTTGAGAGTGGCGAGCCTCCGTACCCCCTTATCCCTTTCGCCTTCTTGTCTGCTCGCCCGTGCCCCGCCCGCCCCGCCAGGCCTCTATATACTTGTGCTGCGCAGGACTGGGCGTGGCGGGGCAGGGCGTGGCGGGGCGTGGCGCGGCGTGGCAGTGTAGCCGGATTTAGTCCGCTCGCGGCCATAGCCGGGCGGGGCGCGGCGGGGCAGCTCTAACTCAGTGGCAGCCGAACTCACGTGCGTAGGGCCGGGGGCCTAGAGGCGGGCCTAAATGCATCTACAGCAGAGAGGCGCGTTGTCAAGCTACCCCCCCCCCCCATTTCACTGTTACAAAAAACCACAGTAATAGGTACAGGAAACTTTTGGTCATACACTTGCCTAATATGTCCGTGGCCAAACCGTACCTCCTACAGAATGCACCGTACCAAAACCGTACATCATACAGAATAGGTGCAGGAGCACCGTATCAAAACTGTAGCCATGACGTTGCTGTACCCTTGCAGTATATCTACAGGTAAGCCGTTAGTAATTTTTTTGTATGGGTATTGGGTCGGGAATTGACCGCCAACTTCAAAGTTCAAAAATAGTTGCATCGCTAGGGACTGGAGCAGGGCGCTGCTCGGCAGAGGTCCTCTGCCGTATGACTTATCTGGCGTGACGTATCATCAGCGAGAGCTAAGTAGCGAGTCAATCTCCAGGCCAGTGACGCTCTGGGTATGGTACAGAACAAAGATGTTGTTTTTGGACTACGGTTTGCCTGTAGTGTATCCTATACGACAAAATATGGCGTACGGTTCCGTACTGTGACAAACCGTAAACAAAATTCTGTAGTATCAGCTGTAGTTGGGTACGGTATTTTTAACAGTGTTCCCCCGACACAAACACACGAGGTACTAAAATGCTGTAGCAAAGTGCAACACTATGGAATACTAATGGCGACGCGTCACGTTTCTTGATGCAAATCGTTTTGTTGGGCACTCCCTTTCGTAGAACGCGTTTCATGATGAACTTTGCTTATTCCTGTTAAGGGATAGGGGAATCAACAGGTAGG